TTTACTTTACAACCGGCATTAAGGGCGACAGCATTACCCTCGATATCGAGCACCGGACTGCCCGATGATCCACCGCTCGTACCGGAGGCCGCTTGAAAATAAAAGGTATTAAAGTCATTATAGTAACCGATCCCATATTCGGGAGCTCTGATTACGTAAGGACGATCGGATAATTAATGATCGTAATGAAAATCATTTTTATGGTTTCTAGGAAAAAAAAACTTGCCTCCGATCGAGCCTTGCTAAGGTGCCGGCCAAAATCGACAACTTTTCACCGGAATCATTTCCAGCAACTCTAATTTCTATTCCGACCTTTGCTCTTTCTGGTTCAAGAGGGATCTGAATTAGATCCATAAACTTAATCTTTGATGGATCAAATTTTAAAAATCCAAAATCATGAATCGGGTCTCGATAGATTGATTTCAATTCTACTTCTTCATAGTTTATAAAGGTGGCCTGAGCCACAATAGGAGCTGGCGACACTATATGACGATTGGATAAAATGATTCCTCTCTCCTTATCAACCACAAATCCCGTGCCACAATATTCACCTAAAAATCAAATGATCGGATGTGTTTGGTTTTTTTTTTTTTTTAGTCTAAATCATTTGGGAATTAGCCTTATGAATCTTTTGGTTAGTAATAAAGTGAGACTAACCGGAATATTGAGTATCAAAATCTCTCACGCAGTTTGCCTTAATAGATACGATGGCATTTATAGCCTTTTCCAAAGTAGTCTTCCAAGATTGTAATTTGGCGGTAGAATTTGTTTGACCATTTAGATGTGATTGATCATCCAATTGAAGGGCAGATTTTGAATGAGTAACATTCGATGGTTCGACTTGATCATACGTAACCGCAGTTTTAATTTCCTGAGGATTAAGGATTTCACTTTTATCACTTTCATCAATCTTTTGATGTGAGGACATTATGAAGAATTTTTTTTTAGAAGGAATGATATTTTTTTTTTTTTAAAAAAAAAAAAAAAATCCTTTACGGTTGGTTACATTAGATGTTCGATAAATCAGTTTTAAATAAAAAAAAAAAAAACCTATATTTTCCGTACTACCCTTTACCACGTTTAGTAATCAAAATAAGCATAAATGTGCATTATCATTGAATCGTCATGTAGTACTGTACATTTGTTACATCTTGCAAATGAAAAGGTAAAAAAAAAAAAATCTTTAAA